CCATCCAACAACAAGTTCCACAGGCTGCCATGTTGGCAGCTTACCTCATTCTCTCCAACCAGCCCAAGCTTCTTGTCCATAGAGGTGTCTCCACATGTTCCAGGGCAGGCGCATACCATGAAATCTTTGACTCTGGGCGAGCACATTCGGAAACAAAGCAGCAAAATTAAGGACACGCTCTTTTGCAGGCTCCGCAACTCTCTTAAGGTAAAGTAAAGCGGCAGTTTCTTGAACGTAGATTTCCATGATGCGATGGTTTAACCATCTGCCCTTCCTGCGTGTATACTCACTATTTTCTGTTGTTGCTAGATGCCAGGTAGCACCACCAGCTCGAAGCGAGCCTAAGTCCAGCGCTTTGAGGCTTCCATATCGCTCTGTGGGAAGAAGGAGCGCTGCAAGAACATCTTTGAACCTCTGCCTCAAAGTCTGACCTGACCAGCACCAAAGTTTAGCTGTAGGCGGAAGGTGCCCGAAAGCAAGATCCACAACTTGTAGTAGGTCAGGAACTTCTAGCTTAGCGGTTTGGTGTTTAGCTCCGGACATCCTGGTTTTTGGCTCCAGAATAGCAAGCGTTGCGTAGTGAACTGTTTCATCCACGTCACGGGGTAACAGGAGGTTTGCACGAGTGGCAGACAGAAACTCGCCTGCCCGAAGCAAAGCACCCCAACACAAAGACAAAGCTCCAGCCAAAGGAACCCATCCCCATAACAAGCAGGTTGTAACCATGGCTAGTAAAACCTGCCAGGGCATAGCAACATGATGACACGTGGGTTCAGCTGCCATCCAGCTGTAAGCTAAATCCCAAGACCCTTGCATCTGTCGACGGATGGATGGCTTCAACGAAGTCAGATGATTTATGGTCTCGGCATACTGATTGTAGGGCCTACCAGCTGTGTAAAGAACTCTTCCAAAACGCGTCAAAATCGCATTTAGCTCCTCGATGAAAAAGGTGGGTTGTTCCAACAAGGGTGCAATGTCAATTGCCTCAGAGGCAAGCCACTTCTCAAAAATCGACCAATACTTCAGTCGCAGCTTATTCGTCGCCTCCAACGTTGGTCTACCTTCTGGCAGCGCGGGCCTCAAAGCCCGAAACTCAGCTCTCGCCTTTTCAGCGGCAGTGGAAGGTTCCATGGCAACAGCTCCCTGGTTAAGGAGCAGGGAAAACACTACCGCAACCCGCGCCCCCGGGAAAACTCTCAGAGGCCAAAGTGAGCGGGGAGGAAGAAGGAGGAAGAGCCAGAAGTGCCAGGCGGGCGAGAAGGAGGAGTTGGTAAAGAGGCAAAGCAAGATGCAAAATCCAAAGGCCGAAAGGAAAGGGCCTTCGCCAGGATAGCCCTTGGTGGAATCGAAATCGATAACGGAGAAATCATGGGATGGACAAACTGGACAGCAAGTTTCTGCCTGGCAGCGAACATGCTCTGACGCACGTGACCATCTGGAGGAAGAGCGGTCAGCCCATCTGCTAACTGCCAAACCGTAGATCAACAAAACAAGCCTGAGCCAGTTGGACGCCCATCTTCTTGTCTTTGGCAACATTGCAAGATCCCAAAGGCTCCTCTTGGAGAGGTTCTTCCAACCAAGGCCTTGCACTGACGGGCGAATGCTCCTGGATCTTGTAGGGTCATCTGCAACATTGAGCCTGGTAGGACAAAAAGGAGTGGTCAAATACAGTCCAAAGCCAACCAGGCATGAACCAATGCGACGAAGTACCGCCGATAAGGCCTTTGAAGCAGATCTTCCTTTTGCAAGGGCTCCACGAGACACATTCGAGTCAACCAGGCACACAAATCTCTTGGGGCCTTTCTTTGCAACTTTGAAGACCAACTTCTCGACGGCCTTCATCTCAAGCAAGTTGATGTGCTGCTGTTTCTTGAAAGCCCAAGAGTTTTCGACCCTCCACGAACAACCAAGAGCAAGCTCGTTGACCAGCTGATTCTCCAGACCCTCTGTGTTGACTGTGCCACCAAGGGGATCAGAAGCCCTGACAACTTTGATGGCATGAGCAATAACCCATGCCAGAGCTGCGGCCAATTCCTGGGTGTAGACTGCAGAAGCTTTGGTATAAGATCCTGCTATAGGCACATGCTGGCAGGTTCCCTGACAACGCCGAGCCAAGGGTTGCAGATCCACATTGACCCCCAGGAAGGCGAACGACTTCTGATGTATAGACCCAAACTGACAGGAATCGCTTCTGACCTCATCAACGCCGGCATGAGAGAGCAAATCCTGGTAAGCAGACAAGTACTTGGTCTTGGCGGAGAAGGGCCTTTCGAAAATACCTGAAACTCGATGCACCAGTGCTTTGCGCATCAACTGCAGCGATCGTAAAGTAAGGACGTTCCCATCATGAGTTTGAGGGTCTCCTGGATTGAAGCCCAGGGGGTGCATCTTGTCGCGAAGAGCCGGCCTCCTCATGATAGAGAAGGTCGTACAAGGAGGCTCAACCATGAATGCTCGAAGGGAACCTCGCTCCAGCAAATGATAGAGCCATTCCAAAACGAATACTTGCTTCAAGTTGTACTCCTCTGACAGGCTAAGGTCAATGGGTGGGCCACAACTGACCCCCAAAGACAAGAGGGCCTTGGTGACCCGAGCTGACCCCGCGAAGATCTCGATGAACTCAAAAGAAAAGGCCAGGGGGCGGTCAACACCTCCGGGAAAGCCCTCTTCTTCTCTCTCATCTTCGACTAGATCCAGCTTCTGCATCAACCTGCTCCAGCGTGGTTGCAAGCGAGTATAGGAACCTTTGGTCTTGCAAACTTTGCCAAGGAGCCGGACAACCTCAGCCCCCACATCTGCAGCAACAATAGCACCCCTCTCGTCAGAGGCGTCAGAAGCATAAAGAGTGTCCTCAAAAGGGGCCGAGACATCCGAAACTGCAAGAGGCACCAGTGTAGCAACCAGGACCAATTCACAGGCGACTGAGCGTGGCAAAGGGATCAATGCTGAATCAGAAATACCCTCGACTGTGGCCTCCAGCCTAAAGCACTCATTCAGAATGCCCATCAAGGGCCTCCGGAAAAGCAAAGCTGAAACCCATGCCCCGACAATGCATCGATGTAGAGATACCGTAGTGTAAGGTAATGCGCAAAGCTCCAAGGTCAATGCCGACAAAGCAAACCTTTTCTCCGCAGGTGCTCCGACTGTGCAGACTCCTTGTGAAAGCGCTCTATCGCCGCCGTTGACATAGGCACCAATAGCTTTGCCTTCTTTTGCCGCGAAGATGTCCTTCTCAGGAGAACCCAACAGCTGCTTTTCAGAATATGCTACTTGTGCTTGCTTGTAGGCTTCAGCGGAGAGAGTACCTTCATCTGAAATCCCCTTGTCATCGACCGAGAGGGCAAAGTAGTCATCAATGACCAGACCTTCAATCAAGTCATCCGAAAAACAGGGAGTCGTGGACTGCAGGTGAGAATCTGCTGCTAGCAATCCATAGTTCTTCAACAACTGTAAATGAGCTGCGGTAGCAATTTCAACTCCTGCATGGTCCCCCTGCAAGATGCTCTTGAACGAGGCCCACACCAATCTATCTGGATCCCCACGAGTGGACTTGGCCCGATGGAGAAGGTCACCGTGCTCACTCCTCTTGTACCTCTTTAGGGACTGTGCCAACATAAAGGAGCCATATGCAGATGTATCCTCCACCCAGGAGATAGGAAGCCCTGGGCCCAAAGTATTGGTGACAGCCTTGGCCTTGGTGACCCAAAGTTGATGATAGAAGTCCCTGCGATCAGACACAGAGATGGCGATGCGTTGAGACTTCAAGTTGACTGCTATGTCACAAAGGTCAGGGCCTGCTGGAAGAGAAGCCGAAGGACCTTGCACTTTGCACTCTATTGCATTACGGCCCCGACGGTCACCAATCTGCCTGTCCTTGTCTATAGACTTGTAACAATTGAAGATGCGCACAAGCTCAAACTCCTGCCGTTGTTGAACACCTTCTTGATGAAGGAAAAGCAAATCGCGCTCATCCCAAAGCTTTGCAAGGTCAGAAACAGTGCTGGCCTCGTCACGGATACGAGGATACTCCCAAGCCTCAGGAATTCGCTGCAATCGGATTGACTCCGGCTCCCTGTAGGCCATAACGAGGTCGTCGGGGAGAAAAGCCGTGACGTCCCAGGCGCCACTGCCAGAGAGTTTCAAACGGCTGGGGTCAAGGTCCCGATATGGCTCCAGCTCCGGCATGACCGTGTTTTCCTTTTTCACCTCATAGCCAACGAAGGACTTGTCATATGGAGACATAGAGCATCCCAACTTCACCAAGAGAGCTGAGACTTCAGAAAGGCGTGCAATCAATTCTGGATTCTTTCGACCGACATGAAGCATATCAAAGCTATCACGAGGGCCGTCCGCCCTGATAAAGGATCGCAGCTGAGCATAGAGACGCAAGTGAGCTGCATTTGGTTCCCTCCACAGAAGATCTGCCTCCAAGAAAGAGCCCCCATAGTGCCAGAAATTAAGAGCCATGCAACAAATATGAAGAGCTCGCTCCAAGGCAAAAGACCTCCTCTTAGCGCTTGAGACGCCAGTGGGCTTCCTGCTGAATGCTCCTTCGTGAGGAACAGGGACAGGGAACAAGGACGGTGTCCGAGAGGTTCGAGGAAGAGGCCTCTTGGAAATCTGGATGGAATACGACAAAAATGAGGAAAAAGTACATCTCGTTTTCAACACCAGTGTGGTCAACTTCGACATCCACATTGGGCAGCTGGCCTGTCTGGTATGAAGGAACTGATGGCTGCTCGACCCGGCCTCAGGCTGGTTCTCAGAGAGCTTGCCCCTCCGATCACTAGCCCCAGGCAAAGGGGAGCGGGGAGGCCTTGTAGAGGCATAAGCCTCAGGCAGGTCCCTCCCAGAGCCGACATGCACAAAAGAGGAAGCTGCATTGATGCCACCTCTGAATTCGTCCTGCTTCTTTGATGCTAGGCTGTGCCGTCGGCAAGAGCCTTCGGCTTCTTTGGGAACTTCGGCCTCCTCCGTGGACTGGGGGTCGACTCTTCCTCCTGTTTGCTGGGCTGACCTTTTCTCGGCCTGATCTCCTGGCGGCGGCTCTGAAGAACGTCGATCTCTTTCAAGTAGGCCAGTGAGATTGTTGCAAGGCTGGCCGGGATCAAGGGAGCAAAGGGTCGAGCTGACGCTGTCACCGAGCTCATCTTCTCTTGGAACAGTGCAGATGGAGGATCCTCTGCCAGGGTGACGATGTAAGCCAAATCCCAGCTTCCCACATCGAAGGCACTCTGCTCTAATCCCATAACTGCCAAGGCCAGATACTCTCGCGTCATGTGGAAGTCCCCACGCGAGGCGGCGTCCACCGCATGAGCTATGACCCACATGCTGAGGCCTGCTTCCCTTTGGCCCTTGAAGCCCCCATAACGCTCGAGATAGGTCTGCAAGGAAGGAGCCCGAAGATTCAGCTCCTCCTCGGTCTTCGGCACCACATTGGATGGTTGAAGCCTCCGGCAAATCTGCTGCTGCAGCATCATGAAAAAGTGCGACTGGCCTGTAGCAAGGAGCTGCTGCAGCTGCTCTCTTCTCATGGTGCCTCTTGTAGAACTCGAACTTCCCCCTGTTGCTCCTGAAGACTCGAGACCAAAGGCATCTCCTCCTTGGATCAAATGGGACACGAGTGCTGTCAGGGCGGCTGACTGTTGGGACAAAGTAGTCTCCAGCTGCTCGGGAGGGGCTTTCAGGGGGTCCTTGGGCTCGTCCAAGTGTTGAACTGGAACTCCACTTGGTGAGGCCATTCTGGTTTTGGGTGGAGGCCCCAACACTTGAAGAGCTTTTGCCGGTGTCAATGGTTGCTTGGCTGGCGTCCCCAATCCGAGGGATACAGGTGGCATCTTGTAGAGGCCAACATAGGCGGTGCCGCTGGGACCTCCTGCAGGACCTGCAGAGGCTGGATTCTGGGAGCCAGGCAGAGGGGGTACCTCGCCGTGGGGCCTGGCTTCTGGTGGGATCTGGGAGGCCTGGAGGAGCGCCACCTGGGCTGTGAGCGCAGTCAGCTGCTCGGAGAGGCCTGCCGTTGTGATTCGCTTTGCTCCGGCCTTTCGGAGGGCGGGCTGCCTGGGAGGAGGACTCGCTGGTTTGGAAACTGCCGGCTCGTCTCGAGCACTGTAAAAATGGATCCTCATAGCTGTCTCCCCGGTAGCCCAATCCAGAGCAGCACGAAGGAGCTCATCTGCTGCCGGCAAAGCTGAAGGAAGTGCAGCAACAAAGGGTGCAATATCCTCCACATCATCACTGACAGCATCATACTCTCTCAAAAACTGAAGCACTGCATTGGTGAAATCGGCCACCAAAATGGAACTCTTGAAACCTGTGGAATGGGCCAAGCCACTCTCATCCGCTTCCAACATACCAACTTCGAATTCATGCGACGGCCCCAACAAAGCATCCTCGACAAAACCTCCTGCTGGATTCAAATGCTCATCAGCAAAAAGGCCACAAGGTAAAGCCAGCAAAAGGCCGCCACGACGTGCATCCAAGGGCACTGCAAAAGCCTGAACCTCTTCCCCTCCCAATGCAAGCTCGGCCGGGACGGTCAAGATGAGCAAGGAGGGTTCTTCTTGGTCCGAAGCAAAAGCTATTTGTCTCCTGTCCATTTCCACAAGGGAGGGACGGGAGCTTTCGCCCCCGCGCAAAAGATATGCAGCTCTGTCAGGCTAGGAACCTTCTCCACAAACTCAATCTCTGGGAAATCCTTGCAGAGACGATTGCTGTCTGCCTGCGATGTCACCCGAACCAAATCGAAGCCTGGACCTCGACGAAGCACCCAATGAGTAGCTGGAATGCCAGGCCTGTAAGTGCTAGGATACGGGGAGTTGCAAGCCCAAAAAGCTTTGGCCCAGAACCCTGCAACAAATGCTGCTCGTGCACGATCTTCCGAGTGGTGTCTCGCGGATGTGAGGTGTCTCTTGGCTGAATCAATGCAGAACTGCGGAGTAGGCCCCGGGCCGTCCTCAAACTGTATCTCAAGGTCCACCTCCAAGAAATTCGCTGGCGCTCCTGGGATGCCTCCACTATTCTCCACCAACTCCCACAACCTCGATGCTTCCGAAGAGACGGAAGCCGATGCCCCCCGCTGGCTGTCGACCCTCTGCACCGGTCGGGCTCGGACTGCAAGAGTTAGCTCCTTTACTGCAGCTGTCAACTCACGGAGGTCGTTCTGCAGGATGGAGATGTCACTCATGCAAGTATCCTTGGAGTCTGGATTGCGGACGCCGGCGGAAGCCGGGACCGGGAGGCTCTGGAGAGGAGCCCCTGGGAGAAGTCGAAGGGACAGCAAAAAGAAAAGTCCACGAAATCCAAAGTCCAAGGAAAAGTCCACCGAGAAGTCCAAAAGCCGAGCCAGAAAGGAAAGGCAAGAGGACGGATGGATGGCAGTGAGCCGGGCACGAGAGGGAGGAGGAGAAGACAGAGAAAAGGGAGAGGGCCTCCGAGAGCGCCGCGCCCCAACCCTGCATAGAAGCTTGAGGCGGCCGTCACAATCACAGTTATTTGTCATATATATATGCAGCAAACAGTATTTCGTGATTGTCTTGTGTTGGTCCAAATATACTCCATGATTGCCTTTGGGCCAGCTGGCCCATAGAGCCGCCGTCCCCAATGCGCCTTCAACTCAATTGGTAGTCCATGGCAATCCCATCCTCAGGCAAGATTTGAATCGAGAAAGCATCGAATTGATAGTTGACGAAGCATCAGCGCGGAGGTCAAGATAAAAAGCAATACTTAAGACACGGAGGCATGACATTCAACGACATTCGCAGTACACTCTGTAGGGAAGGGGACTGCGGCTATGCCCAAAACTGGGAAGGCATGGGAGAGGAAAGGTCTTTACTGTGTCTTTTATCAGTATGAAGAACAGTAAGGAAAGCGCCCGGAATAAACTTGATCTCGTGCCCTGTTGCCTCAGTATGGAAGCCGCTTCTTAAATCAACAGGGCAAGAGCACTGCAAATAACATGCCCAATCACTACAAGTGTGAAAAGGTCCCTTTCCACCTGCTTTAACTTTCAGCATACTACCGTGTCACTTCAGGGAATTTGAGATATACATTGCAAGTCCGCGGTTGTACTTTGCACAACCAGCAGGTGATGCTCGTGTGTTCGTGTCAAAACTTGTGAGACCAGACCATGGAAGAAAAATGCATCCCAATTCTGGGAATGCAAAGGTCTGAGATGGAACAGCGGTTGTCGTGATCTTGCAGCTGATTGTGAGTGTCACTTCTTGTGGCCGCTGGCGATGTCCGTGACCCGTTGCGAAAACCAGCTCTTCCTTTTCCTTGCAAGGCACATCTCTACAGATTTGAATGCCTGTTTGTTCTGCCAATCACTTCAATCTCATCGTTGCATCTGCAAAGGCTTCACTTTAGTGCCTAACCCCCAACAAATGCGAATGTGTATATGAACCAATCAGCAGAGACTGAAGAGGATTAACAGGATTGACCACTGCAAAGCTTCGTCTTGTGCAGGAAAACCTTCGCAGCCCTTCGAGATGCTGAATCTGCCATGGTGACATTCTGCGTTTCATTGACGATCGCTTCAAGGTCGAAGTCCTGGTAGTCATGCCTCCACACGAGTCTGCCATAAGGCTGGAGTCGATCAAGCACGCAGCTAGCACCCAAACACTCACATTCCTCAAGAAACAGGGTAAGACTGGGGCATATCGGTCAAGTCTTCTGGCTCTTGGCGATTGAGCGTCTGCATGAATTTGTCCGAATATGTGCTAATGAACTTCAGGAAATCCTGCGCAGAATCGTCTGTCAAGTTCTCCGGTTCTGTGATGCAGAAACTCAAGAACTCGGTCCGGATGTGCTGCACTCAAAGCGATTTGCCTCACAAAGGTGCTATGGACAACGTTCGAAACAGGAAAACCTACGAAAGGTTCACGCTGCAGCAACCTGAACAAAGCCATGCACAAAAGGATTGCAGCTCTGAGGAGTCTGATATGGCCCTGATGATGTAAACGAAAAAATTGTCAACCTGTCGCCTATCTTCAATATAAAAAGAAAAGAAGTCGCCTAAACATAGCACCATCAACCCGTAGAAGCGAGCAATGTGTCTTGGCCACACAAGTGCCAATATTGGTCCTCGATCGCCACAGTTCAAAACCAGAGTTGATGATACATTGACATCCAACTGCTCTTTATTGTCGGGTCTGATTTGAGAGTTGTGGCCTTTGCCTCAAGCCTCGCTCGCAGTTTGGAGTGAGGCAAGAACTGATCGCATACTGAGCCGAAGTGCCAATGGGTCCACAGAGCTGGCTCACAGAGCCACGGGAAGTGACTATGAGAACTGAGAGCAAAATGACCTGAAAGGGAAGAGTGACAAACAGCATGACCTGATGTTAGTTCCACTTCACTGGAACAGAATACGGGTTTTGTGAGCCTATTACCCATGAGAGCCAAAACATGCTGCTTTTGCATGGCATCAAAACATAACAGCACAAAACATTGCCACATTGCCGCTGCGAATGTTGTCTGGTTGAGAAGCCACCTAGAGATTTGCATTGCAAAGGCGGCCTGTTGTAGGAGAAGTTGTGGAGTTGAGAAATTGTGCAGTTGTACAGTGTCTTCGGAAGTGTTCAACGCAAGAGTTTGCAGGGGTCGCAGGGAATCTTGATGAGTCCTGCACCTTCCGGTTTGGTTCCATGGAGGTTCATGTGGATTTGTAAACCAAATTGTTGCTGACTTGAGGCCTTTCTAATCGTAATTTCTAGACGGACCTGGTTTACTGATTGTTTCACTTAGACAACTTCAGGGAATGGGCATTCAAGTCGTAAATACACCAATCTCTAGTGTGACAATGTTTCGTGTAAGCACTCACTTTCGACTCACGTTCTGCGTTCTCAAGTTCTGCGCAAGCCTGGTAAGCCTTGACCAGCCAACCAATCTACAGTGTGGTTGATAGCTCGCATGGATTGTTGCTGATTTACTTGCAGCGTTGGTGACTGGTGCAAATACGTGAATCCAACAAGAATTAGAATCAACCTTGATGCAGGGAAGTGTGACAGACCGCTGCTCCATCAACCAATCAATGAGTCTTACACATTGCATTGGTCCAAGTCCGCTGCAACAATAAATCCAGGCAAGCACGGATGTCAAGTGAATCCACAGTAGCTGGCTAGGTCTAGTCTAGTCTAGCTCAGTGTGAAAAAGAAGGTAAGCCAGAGCTCGGGTGGAGGTCTGGCTCATGCCCCCACGACTGATCGAAACCTGGCTGTCGTGATTCTACCCCAACCTTGGTAGCTGATGTAGACGGCGGTGCCAGATTCCAGAAAGAACATATCCGATTGTTCCAGGTTCGTGTCGTTGGAAATAATCACCTCAACCACAGCGGGCCCTGCAACCCAACTTATGGAGTTTTGAAGAAGTTGCTGTACAGCGTTGGAGGCTCTCAAGCATTTGGATCTATGATGTCATGCCCTCCACTGTTGCCCAGCGGCTTCACTCGGATGTATGGACACCCTGTCGGGCAACAACTGGCTGAAACGTGGAGATACCAGACCAAAACAAAAACCACAAAGCAAACTGAACTAAATTGCTGTCCCGCCTGGAGATTGCACAATGGCAAACGCGGCGCATCACATCATCTGCGAGACCCTGAAGAAATGCGAAAAGCGGATGCTGAGCAAGGATGGGCATGTACCTGCAAGTCTCGGGTCTCTGTGGAAAGTTGCTGCAAACATCCATCAGTTGCAAGAAACTAAGCGAAATTCAGCAGCGCCTCTCAAAGTGGAGATCACTCTTGAGACTTTCCGCAGCCAAATTCAGTAGTTCAACCTTTTGTTCTGGCACATCGCGTTCTTGCTCCTAGCAAGAAGGACAGTGCACCGCATCCAACTTCGAACGGACAAAATAGAGGAGAAGCCTGAGTCTATGCGCAGGATTGCACTTTCTCATCGTGACGCAGATTGATTTTTTCATATTTTTCTTCTGATTTTGAGTTGTGGCACTTGTGGGACCCCTGTCACTGTTTGACCCACAAAAGCAAAACAAAAGGGACAAGGTATACGAAGGTATATCCGCGCTAGCCGTGCCAGCTTCAAAGCTGCTGTCTGCCATCTCTCTGGCCTCCACCGGCAGGGGTGCCGTCACCCTTCGCCACAACCTTCCCCTCATCTACTTCTGTGCGCAAGTGCGGTCGGAAAAAGGGGCCTGGACGGCAGCTTCGAAACCCAGTAAAACAAGGTTGGCGAGGCCTCAAAAGGCACGCTTCGCCACAGCCTTCCCCCATCGATTTCTGTGCGCAAAGGCGGTCGAAAAGAGAGGACAGATGGCAGCTTCGAAGCTCAGCACAACAACGCTGGCAAGCCCACGGCCGAGGCCTGGAAGGCATGTGGCCAGAGAGGGTGGCGCAGTTGGCAGGGCAATTACCCCGCGGGATCCTCAAGGCTAATGTCAGTCCCAAGCCTTCCTGGCCTTGGCCGTGGCCTCGCCAACTTTGTTACTGGGCTTCAAAGCTGCCGTCTGGCCCCTCTTTCCGACCGCATTTGCGCACAGGGTGCCTTGGAGTGCCCTCACGGGTGTTGGTGGCTCTCAACATTTTCACATCAAGGAGTCTCACAAAGGAAGGACTGTAGCCGTCTTATGGGCACCCCAAGTGTACTGTCCTGAATGGCCATAATCACACTCTTTTGGATTCGCAAAGTAAGGCCTCAGAAAAACATCACACTCATTTGGGTTGTTTGAATACAGCTTTTGCTCCGTAAAAGTTGCAAGGAATGTGCCATTCTGTCAAGAAAGCTAGCCTATGAGTATGGATCCGGGAGTCATGTCCAGCCTACGACATCATGAAAATCAAATTCTGCACGCCCCCAAGCAAGACATGCTGCAGGCAATCCAATGAATTGTGTGACAACCTTTGCAGCGAAGTAGCAGGGAGAGACGTTATTATCAAACCTTGGCAGAAGTCGCCGAATGAAATGTATATATGCACTTCTCTTTTCACGCAAATGGTCATGGATTCTATTCTGTCTGCCAAGAGGCAAATATTGCTTCAATGCCGTAAGTTTGGAATCCCTGCACTGTGCCAACGGTTGCATGTAAGCGTCGCTTTGTCAAAAGCAAAGTCTTTTCAGTCATGCTTGGTTGCCTTTGAACGGTAAGCAAATCCAGCTTGGTCATGGATGATGTGATCGCACTGATGACCTTGGTTCACTTGGTAAGCTGCATAGAGCGGTTTAGTCACTTCAAGCTTCATTTGCTGTGTCCTGCAGCTGTACAGTCTTTTGCTGTCTTGTGCTGAGGCATCTACTATGTCTATGTCTTAAATTAGACCTACGCCACCCACCGAGCAGCCTCTTGACCACAGTAGTTGCGTGCTGTGCAAACAAACGACATCCAGCTGACCAGGAGGCTTAAGAGATTGGGCGGCAAACCATTAAACAATAGCATCCTCTTGGTTTAGGTGAGTTTGCGGGCACTTGCTCACCACCAAAGAATCTCTGAAGCTTAGGAGAGGAAAACGTGCCTTCGGGCACATCTGACATCATGTGTATAGGTGTATAGATCACAAGCAGCTACAGTATTAATTCTGTACCAGGCCCAAAGCTGACTACCGAGGCCGAGGCTGCAGCAGAGAGGAAAAAGCTAAAGTAAAGTGCCACAACTGTGAGAACGCGTTCATCGTAGTTTCTCGGTGTGACCTCGAAGCTGTCAGAAATGTTTCAAGCACCAGGATAAGGAAGAATTGCAGAAATGCAAGGAAGTTGCATCTGTCATGCCAAATGCAAGAACAAAAAGCCACCAGCCTCCATGGCTCCAATGAAAAGGGTCAGGGCCCAGTGCAGCGAAATGAAATAAAGATGACCAAGTGATTTTTGAGCATAGCCAAAGTGATCAATCCAATTTTCGCTGGTCTCCGCATCCTCAAATGGTCCAACGCTTTCCAGAGCAAGACCTTCAAGAAAAATACTTACGGTACAACCCTAACAAGCCAGGCAGCAGCTCCAAGCCTGTACCAAATGCAGGCCTGAAATTGTGGAAGAGTGATTCTGTCATGAAGCATAGAAGAACTGAACTGAGCCGCTCTGCATCCAAGAAGCCAGTAAGTGCCAAAATATCATCATGCCTTCAAGAGCAACAAGAAAGGTTTCTTGAGAAGAAGGCAATGTTCAAGCCCTTCGTGTAAAGGGCATCTTTCGAGACCGGCCTGTCATGATCTTAAATATTCCCATGATGGTAGGAAACATCCCAGAGCGAAAGAAAGCGGCAATGTGGCCAATGAGCTCGTTCATACGAGAAAACCTGACCAATCGGATTAGCCTGGCAACCTCGGTCAACAAACACCATCCGGTGCTTCCTCTTTAGTCAAAGCGTATCAGGGACAGATAGGCCATGGCCTTCTCAGCCTTTCACACCATTCGCAGCATCTATCTTCGCCTCTTATGTCAGCAGCCACAACCAAGTAACTTTCAGAAAGCGAATCATCTTCACGGATTTTCCCAATCTCGCTGCATCTGTGCCTTTGGGCAAAGAAAGCAGGCTCAAAGGCACAGGCTGTTGGACTGTCGAACAAAAAAACATGCAGCACACTGAAGCCCGTGCTTTCAAGATCAACAAGATCCAACCAGTCCAAGCATACCTTAGTGCAACTGAAGCTTCAGAGTACCTAGAATGGTTTGGCATGAATCTATCCACAACCTCACAATTCATGTCAGGCCACTATGGCAAGATCTAAAGCAAACCATGTTTTCACATAGTGAAGCGCAGCCTCAGGACAGACGGAAAAGACTCTGAGTTCCCTGCTAAGCGAGAGAGGTCTACTGGTTCTTTCTACGCCATGCATAAGCTGTGCTACTGCCATTGTAAGTTGCGAACGCGACGTGGCCTCATCTCTACCGATCCATCCCCCCGAGGATAGCCTCTCCTCAGTTTGGAAGCAAGCTCACTGTCGAGTGGCAGTTGAGAGCAAGGTTTGAAGAGCTTGCAGTTCTTCTTTGAAACCAAGGATCAAGAAGTTCATTCCAAGATCAGTTGTCCAAAATACACGCAAAATCCAATTAATGACCATCCATCCATCTCCTTCACGAAGGACCAACAAGACTCTAGAGACAAACTACATGGGGCTCAAGGTGTATAGCTTCCATGAGCCCTATATAGGCCGTATAGCTTTTCTGTGTCTTCTGGGTGTTTTTTGGAAAAACAGAAACTGTGGCCTTCGTCAACAAGCAGCTGTAAAGGTATGAGCACTGCATCCGCTGCCTCAGAGAATTTAGGCTTCGCAGGAATAGCACTAATGCACGCACAGGCCTCAATGCAAGCCTTGGCACGATTAGAATTGCAGACATCACATCCCACACAATTCTTGTCGCACATCCCGGTGTCATCATATAGGGTGCTAGTCGACGCGAAATGCAGTCCTTAGTCCACTCCTCATTACTCTTCAACTGCATTGGACTAGCTGTCTGGTCTGGATATATACTTTCCAATTTAAGCCCCTGATGAAAACAAACCCTTGGAGCCAAGAGGCTAGATGATCGTCTTCCTTAGTGGACAACAGTGGAACTGCGCCTATAAACCACTCTGAAACCACTCATTGAAAGTATGTCCAAAATACGCGATCTAATGATTGGACCATTCTGCAATTGCGACTGAGCAACACTTTCATGATCTAAATACCTTGAGAAAAGCTAAAGACAGTGAGCCAACTATTCCACACAGTGAACAGCTGCCTGAGCTTGTTGGCATTCACTTGCCTCAGTTTGGACAGAAGCTTTGTGGAAGCATGACGGCACATTCCAGTGTTCCGCTGAGTTGCTGGATATCTCTGTGGGTTGGATCAGAATAAATTGTGGGACTGGGCTTTTTGGACCAGTCCTGCTCACCGTGACTTGACTTGAGAAGCCTACGACATGGTGTACCATTGCCATGATTAAAGCATATCACAGTCCTCCAGGAGATGAAAGTCGGTCTTTTCCGGCAAGGGTCGAAAGCCTCAAGGTTTTGACGAACTCCGTTCATCACTGCACAGGTCATGAATTCAACATGTCGGATATCTAACCCATAATGTTGATCACAGGTACTATTAACTACTGTACTGTTAGTTCGCAAAGGTAGGCTTCAGGCTTGTGACGCTGACCCGTTCTTCAATACTGAGCTTGCTGTGGGCAGAAACCTTAGCGCTTCTTGGAGAGGAAAGCAACCTAATAAAGAAAGTGGGAAACCTCAAGAGAATTTTTTGAGGTAAGGTCCTTCAGCACCTACAAAAGTCGTGTGTGTCAAGTGTCGGTTCGAGCTGAGTCAAGACACATTCGTTTGAGACCTGGGCTGACGAGCTTCTGGCCTGGAAGGCGTCGAAAGGCTTTTCATGAAGAAGCTGGTAGAAACAAGTGCCACGCTAGTAGTAACAAGTGCCACGCTACTAGTAACAAGTGCCACGCTAGTAGTAACAAGAAGCTACTAGTAACAAGTGCCTCGCTAGTAGTAACAAGTGCCTTACTGGTAGTAACAAGAAGATGGCTCTTCATGTCTGTCCGAAGTTCTTCCTTTCTCTTAGCGCAGCTGGGCAGCTCTTCACTGGAGTTCAGGGAAGATCCAGGCACCTTCACTGAGGCGATGGTGTTTCCAAAGCCAGCCGATGGTCTTTTACACAGAAATCACACACCTCCGGAGGCTTTCCATGACCATGTCCAGCATCCTTCACCAGACTGATTCTTTCATCATGCTCAATACAGCTTGTCCTTAATAATGCCTGCTTGAGGGCACTCAGCGAAAGTTACAAAAAGACTTCAAACAACGCCAGTCCCGCAGCGTGCTCCGAGTCTTGACACTTCGTTCCTGAGAAGTCAGTGGCACAGCAAAGGGTCAGGATCTCAAGCTTTTCCTTGTGTTCTCTTCAAGTGTCGTGGCTGCTCCGAAGACGATGAGCAAGATCTTGTAGTGCATTCCGAAGAGTCTCCTTTATGAGTCCGTGGTCAGTGCAAAACTTCAAAGGATACAGCACTATCGAAATTCTCGCCTCAAAGTCAGAATCTGGTGGTTCCTGAACAGGAAGAGCGGTCTATGTGCACTCGCTACAATATCTACTTGCTGGCTAAGCAACTCGTTTGAAGCGTCTCCGTAGTATATACTCTAGTCTCTAGTGACAAGTGATCATTTGATGTCCATGAAAGCTGGTATAACTAAAGATAAACAGATTGTTGCCTCGGCTGGCAGCGGAAGGCTCTCTTGCGGAACTGTTTCCGGGCATTCCATGATAGTGCGGCTTTACTATCAAGCACAAACTGTGTGAAACAATTTCTGTTCCAACATTCATGCGATCTGGCTTGTTGAGGTTCCAAACACGGTTTGCAAATATTTATGCTGCGCTGTTCACAAGCTCCTGTGTTGAGAAGGAGGCGATGCAGGCAGGTGCGACATGCTAAACCCATCTCACATATCTGCGATGTTGAAACGACAAATCCACAGGTAAAGTGCTGAAGCTAAGCCCTCAAGCGGCTTTGAACTTGTTGATGATGTCTTTCAGGATCTTGTTCAGGGCATGGCCTAAGCACCAAAAGAAATTTCTTTCCGGACAAATGCGGGAATTTACATTCAGGTTGGATGTTTCCTCCTTGGGGTTCTCTGGTCATCTTCAATCAGCACTCTCTAGAGGGTTCACACTTTGTCCTTGCACCATTGCACCCTGCTCAAGACCCTTTGAGTCATATGGCCCATGTGCAGGGAGCCATTTGCATATGGCGGCCCGTCATGGAGCGTAAAGCTGCCATTGGGATGTTCCATTTCCTGGAAGCAAAGTGTAGCAGTGTGAATGTACCAAGGCAAGGCAGGCAACAAGGACAAGTGTTCAGGAGGTTCAGGTACTTGCTCGCCTGTAACTGCTCATAGATCTTCTTCTCGTTCCAGAAGTCTTGGAGTTCTGGCCTGGTGTATAGAAACTCCGTCCAGGGCATCATGTTTACGTATATAGTTTGTTTAGTTCCTCACATTTGACTTGGGCATTTGCTCTCGCTTCTTTGCATTTGCTCTCTGTGAGAAATCTGTTGCTGGAAGCAGCCTTAGTGCTCACTGCACAACTGACAATGCAGCTCTCACAACCTTGACAAGCTCAATAAAACAGCTTGGCTTCAGGCACTGTGTCCTTGTAGACACTGTCATCACCTGTGTCCAGACTGAATCTTTCGGAAAGAACAAGCAAAGTGCAGAGGTCCACCTGCCCTTGCCTGACTTGCCTTGGTCCTTTTGTGCTCGGCATAACACCTTGACTAGAAGCGCAAAGGCTTAGAATGTCAACAAAAGCTCAAATTGTCAAAGCAAATACATACTGTAATATAGTATACAAATGCCACTTTTGCATACCTTCTGGCTTAGCATGCTGGGCATCTGCCGACAATGCACTCAGGACATAGCCCGGTGTTTTCTGCACTTGGCAGGCTGCTTCCTTGTCCCAACTAGGAGCCTCCAGAGTGCTGTCCAACTCACAGTCCCCACAAGTAGCTTCAACAAAAAGTCTTTATATATATATATTCCTTGATCTTTCTTGTCTGGATGAAGGATTTATGCACATGTTCACTTAAACAATTCCACCACTTGCTAATTGATAGGGAGAAAGAATAGAAAAGTCATGAAGGACTATGAAGGGGTCCTTCAAAAGTGGACCAAAAACCTTCCACCTTTCCAACTAATAAATACCATCACTTCCACAGCACAGAAAACGAGGCCACGACCCAATACATGCAGGAGCCTCATTCGACACATTACAATCACAACAAACATTATATTATATGCCAGTACACTGTTTGCAAATTGGCTGCTGCATCAGCAAAGTTACTTTGGATCCTCATGAACCTGCTTCAACGAAGTGTGTTTCCGGGGCTCGAACCAACAGTGCTCCATTCTGACTTGAATGGAGGAGAGCGGACACAGGCAGTGTAGTACTTTGCCGTTTCCTATGCCAGTGAAATTGATGGAATCTGTGCGACCATTGAGTTCACTGTCTTTGCAGCCTCCAGGAAGAGCACCGCTTTGTCGATTGCCTGCGTTTAAGCTTTGTCTCATTCAGGCTAATAATACAAGCATGCATGTGTTGGACAGACAGGAAGCAGCCATCTGGACACAAGTTACAAACGGAGATGGGAGAGAAAAACAATTATACCAGCGTAGACCCCAAACAGAGCAAGGCTCAAAAATGAGATCTCCGAACAATATGGCCAGCAGTATTTCCTAGAGGAAGAAAACTATAGTCCACCATGTAGACGCACATACAAGATTCAAAGGGAAAGCATTAAAATTCTGTTTTTCATTGACTTTACAATGGGACGCCGTACAAGGGCTAAAATTAATCGGCCCAGCATCCAGCCAAGCCCGGGGATACAAAGCATCCAGACAGACAAGTGGAAGACAAGTGAGCTTACTGGGGGCCAAGTCGAGACATGTGGGAGACAAGTGTGAAATCATACGGCCAGAGCACTCAGAGCATCCAGAGCTTACTGGGAGACAAGTGGGA